AGCAAATGTCTTTACTCTGGGGTTTCAGAGATGAAGATTTTGTTTAGTTTTTACTACACACATATCATAAGAAAACATATAACTCCGAGCGATGTCAATGTTATCCCTAGAGCTAAATTTTAGGTTAAATGAATAACTTCAATTTTAAAAGCTGAATGCCTTCAAATGAGTCAAAATTTAATTGAAATATTTCATGAAATCAAACTTTAGAAAAATGTACTAAGAATTTATGAACAGTAAAAAATATTAAAGATTTAAGTGATAATGTATATCTTATGTGCAATAAAAGACTGTTTTTATATTATTTATCAACTTATTTCTACCGCGTTACGAACGGGGGTATTTTGGTAATTTTAGTATATTTTAGGTGCCGATTGCAATGTGTTAATTGCTTTGTTTGTTCAATTCACAATATTCTATTTTTTAATACATGTTCAAAATATTCGTGAAATTTAGGATGAATATGAATCTCGAGACGTGCTGCATTATGTACAGACATTAACTTGACCTAGTGGAATAATCTGGCGGAGTTGATACGAAGAAGTAAAAATATTTCTTTTTATAAAAATCTTGATATATCATTCGATCAAACTCCACTTTTTTACTTTAAATTAGGAGAGTACCAGAAATGTTCCGGAATGATCTTCTTCTGCAAGTTATTAAAGAAGGATAATTTAAATAAATTGTGAGCAAGTATTCACAACTGTATATTTGTGCTAAAATTCATTTTTATATTTCAATAAAGCCTAGTGCCGACTCGGGATTCAGAAGCCTTCAAGATGACGTTCATGGGGAACAATTCTGCGAAGAAAATGTAAGTTAAATAATTGCTTTTGTTTCCTCATATTTTTTTTACATTTTGGGTTACTTATTTTTTCAACTTAAAAACACTGAGGCCTGATACGTAGTTTGTTATGTCATCTCTTAACTATCTGGGGGAGACAGTACTTTTGTAAAGTGACAAATATGCGGGCAAATTAAATGTTCTTTTCTTCATAAACATTCCCGTGAAACAAACTTACCTTGTGTAAGTCCTCATACCAATTATGTTTTTCGGTTATATCACTTAAGTGACAACCTATTGCAGTTTTAACGGGAAAGGGGATGAACCACGGTATTTTCTTTTTCAGCTGAAATTTTAAAAATATTAAAGTATCAAAATTATTCAATAAAATGCACGGCTAGCAATTCACTACCGCTACATCTTCTTTAATACTAAGAAATATCTGAATTTCTATACTTCCATGTTATACGTACCAATCAACAGAAATAACAGTTTGGTATCATACCCCCTCCCCCCACACACACAAAAGAAATAAGTAATTGATATGAGTTTAGTTACAATAAAAACTGTCAACTGCTGTCTTCTTCAATTTTTGTGATAAAATCAATATGCACTATGTTATGCAGAGTAAGCAAGCTGCGCAAGGTCGTATGAATGGTCAAAAAATTGATGATGCTTTGTAATTTTACAGATACCTTATCATCCATAAATGTTGGACCACACTTTAATTTGATTGAACATAATTTCAATGACTTTTCATTTATGCCCACAGATTTAATTAAAAATAAAAATTGACCATGGAAAGAAACTTTTTGGATATTTTAAAAAAGAAACACAATATCCAGAAGGAATGAATATAAAATTGTAAATTTATTGCCAACAGATTCGTTATTACATGTTTAACATAATTTTGTGTGTATATTTTAGTACAGTTTTGTTTTGTTCTTTTAAACGGTAAGCCCTTTTGGACATAAATTATTGCAATTAATTTAAATCAGTGATCATAACCAGCAATTTTTGAATTTATGTTCTTTATTGTTTTGAGGAAATGATTCAACTTTTTAACAGCTTTAAGTATTAATCTTCTTTTGCTTTTTCATTTGTGGAAACTATTCGGCAGCAATTGACACAAGTAAGTATTCATAATGTTCAAACACGATTATTTAGTTTCTAGGACTGCAATAAATTCATGTACTATTAAATCAACAATATTTAGTTTTAACAGATTTTGATTCTGATGATGAGATTGTAGATGATGATCCATGTTTTGTGTGTGGAAATTCAATTCAATTTAATAGCTTTATTGTACAAAAGGCTTCCGGCCCATACACAGTGTATGCAAAATACAATACAAATAAGCATTGCTGGAGATAAAGTAATGGTCAAATTTCTAATTGGACTCAAACTACAATTTTGACGACGTCCTAATGGACATTAAAAAATATTTGAAAGATTCCCATTCGAACGTACACATGATTTAACAGAAAAGTAAATACTTAGAATTGTGTTATACAATTTATCCTTTACTCCATCTCTTCTCAAAATATCGTATGATATTGTGTGGTTCACGGAATCAAAAGCCTTCTGAAAATCTATAAAAGCTACATACAAAGATCGACGTTTCATATTGAAATACCTAGAGACAATAGATTGTAATATAAATGCGTTATCGATAGCACTATATCCGACTTTGAATCCTGCTTGGGATTCACAAAGTTAATTAAAAGCTTCGGCGTAAAAAGAAAGTCGTTTAGTAACAATAATTATTGTATTATACACTTTACTAAGTACATCAAGAAGTACAATGCCCCTATAATTAATGGGGTCATTTAAACTTCCTTTTTTATGTTAAGGAATAATAATTGAAGTTGCCCAACTAGTTGGAAATTCACTTCACCTTTCGTTAAAATATCTATTGAAAAATTTACAAATATACGGTAATAAAAATTGAATGCCGTAAGCAAGTTGCTGCGGCAAAAGTTTAACACCCGAAGTTTTATTAAGTTTAAGTGATTTCATAATTCTCAGTATCTCTTCATCAGATATATCAGAGTTAAATATTAAGTGCTCAATTTAGTCAAAATGTGTGAATAAATATGTATCTTCTGAACAGGTTTCATTGTTATATTCAGTTTTAGATTTAATAAGTACACTTTTTATTTTCCGCCAAAATTCACGCGGGTCATGAACACATGAATCTATTTTATATAAATACTTGTTAGTATATAACCAATATTTATATGTACATACATTTCTATAAATTCGTTTACTTTCTAAATAAACATATAATGTTTCATTAAATTTTCTTGTTCTAAAATTTTAAGCAGTCTTTTTTTGGCTTGTCTACAATCTTAACCATGCATTTGATATCACTTTATATTTTTTTCTTTTTTTCTTAAACAACTTTTGTTCATTGACATTTCCAATTCTTGTATAATATCATTAAAATAAAATAAAAACTCCAACAACCCTACGATACAATCCAAACATTAAAATCGTTTCCTTGGGTGGGCCCAATGTAATAGTTTCAGCCTTTGGGTGCATTTATGTTTCTGCACAGACTTTCGTGTTGTTTGACGCCACAGCAATGTTCAATGCATTCATTGTAAGACATAAGTTTAAATTCATCTTTATCATCATCATCATCATCATCCTTATTGTAATCAATATTATCATTATCATCATTCCTGTTATTACCTTCGTTATAATTGTTATTTTTATTAAATTATATCACCATCTTTATCATAATTATCATTAGCAACATCGTCATCAACATCATCATCACCAATCATAAACATTAATATCTATTAATATAATAAATTTAATTCTTTAATTATTTTTTAAGCGAACTTTTATTAGAATCTCATTGATACCAAAGAAAATGTAAAGTAAAGTAAAGTCGTTTTAAACTATAATTATTTTCTTCAATTACAATTACTTGTGCCCCTCCCCCACGAGAATATGAAAAAGCACATATTTTGATTTATTTGAGGAATTTAAAAAGAATTCAGCATGCTCAATGAGTTCTGATAGAATTTTTTCAAAGTGACCACCTCTATCAAATTAAAAGCATCAACTTAAAAATTCAGACATTTTGCAGATTTAATATGCAAATTAGTATAAGTTGACCTAGATTCTGACCCTTTTATCTTCTTTTTAGTTTTTTGAGATACAATTTGATTTTTGACAAAATGGCATGTCTCTGACTTTTCGTTAAAAAGTGACCAAAATAAACACCAATTGACCAACTTATTGCATTCCAAATTGAAATACAAACTTTGCAAAATGTCATAAGCAGTGTTCAACTTTGATTAAAGTTTAGCATCTATTAGGCTTAAGCTTTCCATATGCCCGAAAATAATTTGGCTTATAATGTCCGTTCGTCCGCTCTTTATCTTTTACACCAATAAATGGAAATTAAAACTATTGGGCAGAAATGTTAAAAAAATTGAGACAATGTGAATAGGGCAGGTAAGACCTTCCTGAGGTCATGGTCAAGGCCACTTTTAGTCATAATGTATGAATTTCAAAATTTCATGTGCTCTTTGTATCTTAAACACCAATGGAAGGAAGTCATATATATTTGGCAGAAATAGTAACAATACTGCGACGATGTTCACAGCGCAGGTTTGGGCTTCATCTGGTCAAGGTCTAGTTTTCTCATTCAAAACATTTATTTGAGTTTATGAGTTTCTAAAAAACAAGGAATGATTACAGTGTATGTTTAAAATTAGTTCCTATTTATTAGTATTTCCCTTAATATGATACGTAAGTATGTTTGTTGTTATTTTTTGTTTCGCACTTAACATATTGAGCCTTTCTTTGCTGGAAAGATTATAAAAAAATGGGAATATTTTAGGCGTATATGGTTAAATTATTTGAATAAGACAACGTTATTCATTAAAATTGATGAAATTTAAAATATGAAAATTCGTTAAATTACAATTGATACAATAAAATAAATAAGGTTTAGCAAATTTCCATAGATTTCCACAGTCGGATAAAGTATTAGTAATTTCGACATTGTGGGTTAGTCAACTAAAATTTATAAAATTGTCTTACTGAAGGGACTTTGAATAGAGATCCCCTGTATGAGCGTTAAACATTATTCACGCTAAAGAACCCGGAGAAGCTTCTGGAATAGGCGCATCCTTTTTGTATCTTAAAATATTAATACTCTCCTGGAATACTCGAACATATGGGCAACCGCTGGCCAGTATAAATAAACGCGAATACATGGTGTTTGAAAAATGACTCTGCCTATGAGGGAGGGGAGGGTTGTTGTACTCACATACTTTACATGTACACAGATTCATATAGTATACATGTCTTTAACTCTTTTCATCCAACCTACAATTTGCAGAGCACATGAATTAAGCATCTTGCATCACTTAAATAGCTTTATCAAAGAAGAATTATCACTTTGGCACAACTCACGAACATAACTGTAAGTCTGTGAGAATTAAATCCATTTATGTTATTAAGGTAAAAGAGGGTAATTATTTATAACACATAGCATTTTAAATTTTGGGGCATACTATTTCGTGCTTTTGAAGAAGAATAATTATTTGTAGGGCTCGTTAATTCTTAATCATTTTAAAACTGATATATTGGCTTTTTACTGTGAAATGGGATTCAATTTAATATGAAACACAATCAAAACACGTTATATCTTATAGCTTTCTAAAAGTCGTACAAAGCGATGTACTCATGTAAAAAAATTGTATCAACATACATGTATCTCATTTGAATTGAAAATTCGATATGGTTAGACCAACAATTTTTTATTTAGATCATGTCTATTTTTAAGGACTATTGAACCAATGATATCTAACAGAAACATTTCTAAACAAGTAGAACAGATGAAATATAATGTTTCTGCGGCAACTGTGCATCGCATTCAACATGTTAGAGGTGCTTTTCGAAATAACATACACAAAAGAGGTAAAAGTGGTTCTTATACTACACGTCGCACAGGGGCTACTGTTGATGTCGAATGTAAAGTCCGTAATATGGATACGTTGATTAATTCCCTAACACTTAGAGAAATGGCAACAATTTGTAAGGTGTCATTCCAACAGAGTAATAGCAAACATTCTTAAAGCTAAATTGAAAACTCGGGAAAAGGTTCCGAGTTTATAGGTTCAGTTTGTGAAAAAACGTCCTTGAACACGGCGTCTTAACTGTTGAAAATGTAAATGCCGTTGTCACAACAGATGCTTTGTTTAATATGGGCGATAATCATGGTCGACATCTTGTTTGCCAACTAATGAGACACACAAACTGAAGCTTGTACAATGAGTTGTTTTTGCGCCTAGGTTTATGGTTCTGTGCAAGGGTCACTTACTACGACAAGACATTTCTAATTTAGATAAAGGGGTAAAAGTCTATACAAACTTTTAACAAAGTTCTAAAAAAGAGAAATATTGAGTCGCAGAAGAAAACGTCAAAAACGTCAAAATTGAAAATGTGCAGGCTGGATTTGAATGAGTCTGTTCTGAAGCCATGTCTCAAGAAAAAGATGTTCCGCAACTTTTTCTTGGAACAGAAATTGATATGGTATCCCATCAAGACTTGGTCTCTAGTTATACAGCTAAAGTGACTATTAAAATTCTCAACAAACTTAAAGTGAATTACATAACACATAAAGAATAGATGCCAAAAAGCCCTAATGCATCTCCCATGGACATTGGTATCTGGAGTATACTGAAGCGAAGTGTTTTTACGTGTTTTAATGCGGAACCTTCTGCTACAAAATCGTCATGTTCTGGAAAAAAACTGTTTAACTAAAAAGGAGTGTAAAACTTTGTTACTTCTGTTTCGTAAAAGCCTTGTTTCGACTTTGATACTCCTAAATAGGAGAGATAGGATTTTTTTTTAACATTTTAATGAAATTTCTTTTTTCTGGCTGATATACCATATGGTTTCCGCTTCAAAGGTAATTGTTTATTTTCACGCAACTTCTGCTACAAAGAAATACCACATATCTTCACTTCAGTACTTTGAAGTGTCGGTCACACGACTTACCGAAATACTGAAACACTACCGAAATACCGGAATACCTCCGGAATACCTCCGGAATACCCGATCATAGATATAAGAAAGCCAAAATATTCATTAGCCGTTATACTCCCGATATCTTGATATTTTAATGGAGCCGGAATACTGCGGGTGTTAACAAAAATAACATCTGAAGCGAAGGATACTGAAACGCAATAGTTATACACACCCAGTCTTTAAAAGGCTCTCAAATAAGGATGGAGCAAAATTAAATAGTCATTCAAAAACCGGACTTTAGAAAACTGGCCAAAATATGAACAATGGTTTACTTTCGACATGGATCAGGCTGCAATAAAACAATGCGAATAAATAATTGAAAAGAGAAATAAAAACGCACTTTGTGTTATAAATCCCTTTTACGTGCTGGTTACCTATTGATAATTGAAATAAAACATTTTCCGGTCTAGTGTAATCAATCGGTCGTGTCTTTTATTTAAAAAAAAAATAGTTTGATTACATTTAAATCTAGATAACTTAAACAAAATTTGCATTCGGGAGTATATTTCTCCGCCTGTGCGCTGCTCAAATATTATTAATATATCGCTTATTATTCTGATCATTCTAAATGTTTGGTTTTCTTAGTCTGGTGTTAGCTCTTAAAAGTAAAGATAAAAAACTTGAAATTGACATTTTAGGATTTAAATGATATTACTGATGTAACACAATGAAAAATGAACGTCATAGCTGTTTTAAAATGAACAAATGACATATCACAAAGCATCGTAAAGATACTAAGAAAACAATCCTGCAAAACAGGCTACGACAGGACCCTCGAAAAGCGCTGTACATTAACTAAAAGGAGAGTAATCAAAACCGTATTGATATGCTTTTTTGGATTTTTCGCAAATTTAATGTGCCTATGTTATGTGCATATAAATTGACAATTCTAATATAATATAAGTGTTTATAATACTTTTAGAAATTCAAGTTGACGGGGCATCAAACACCTGATTCTTCGAGATATTCCAGTAGAATTACAAGTCAAATTCATCATGTAAGTTTTGTCATCTCTCCATATCTGTCTTAGCTCACCAGAACCAAAGGTTTAGGGTAAGCTATTAGTATCAATAGGGGATACTCCGGGGTCCGTCGCCCGTCTTCTTGCGTCAACAATCATCCTTTTCTCTGAAACTACTGGGCAGATTAACCTCAAATTTGGTCTGAAGCATCCTGAGGGCACGTGTTTACTATTTAAGGCATTTGAAGGGGACGAAAAGGTGTAAAAAGATGTCTATATGCAGGAATAGGATAAAAGAGTTATCTTGTTAACTGAATTCGTTTCATCAAAATTTTGCATTTGAGTGTTCTGACTAGTGAGAAAGATAAAACAGGTTGAATGTTTTAAATAAAGGATGTCAGAAAGCAAAATTATTTTGTTTTCATTAATGTATTTTTCATATTTTTTGTTTGTTTGTTGTTGTTTTGTTTCATTTTATTTTATTTTTTTTATTTACATTTTCTTTTTTTTAGGGTTTGAGGTGGGGGTTATTTGTGTGTGCGTGGGGGGTATTAAGCAATAAGTACACCTTTATTCTATTATTTATTTTGTTATAATATGGTAAACTTTCAGTAAAGCTCTATCATGAAACATAGCTTTGGCAAATGCAACAAGAATTCCCAAAGGTGGCTGATATGGTATTTAGTCACTGAAACAGAAGTTTCCTATATTATATAGTGAAACTACAGAGAGTAGTTTGGGGCAAAATCATTCATAAATTGCATTTGCTGTTATACAAAATATTATTGGTTCGAACGTTTTAGGTACGAATCTAATAGAAAATATGTGCGTCAATACTTCTGCATCGAATGATTCTTGTATGAAATAAGTTACATTCTAACCATTTTTCATTTTTCTGTCCCAGTTGTCGATGATTTTGATTTATAAAAGCGAAAATTTGCTCATTTACAGTACATTTTAATTTGTAAACAAAGCCCATAGCAACCATGCAAGTTATTCGTGGTATACTTGATTTAAATATAATTCCCCTGACACCAGTTCCTAGGTAATAAACAAGTTCAGCCTACGTAAAAGTTATATTTTGTACATTTGTTTAATGACGATATGTAATTAGTGTAGTCACAATTAACATCTTAATTGAAAATTTTAACCGATTTTAACTCTACTATCAAAATTTTCGTTTGTAATAAAGATGGAAGAGTAAACCATATATCAATTTTGACATATTCCGCTAAAATAACATAAACGGATATAGAATCGCATGTCGGGATAAGCATTGGTTAGTTTAACCAGCGGTTGATATTAACCATTTTGGTTTGTTAACCTTTTGGTTATCTCGATTTATACAAGTGACTAACCAGATTGGTTGGATAACAAAAGTTGGTTAAATTTAACCCATGGTTAGGGGTAGCGTTTAACCCAGGGTTAATTTAACCAACGTTAATATAGTTGGGTGCAGTTGTAAATATAATATATTATATTTTCAGAAAAAGGAAAAACAATTATTGCAGTTGAAGTACTATCTTTCAAACCTAGGATATAGTCACAACAATTACACCATTACTGTATTATTTTTCAGGACACCGTTAAGAAAATATGTATATATATATATATATATATATATATATATATATATATATATTGCAATTCTATATATATATATAATATATATATTCTGTAAATATATATATATAAGATATATATATAACAATATATATATATATATACGCATATAATATATATATACGATATATTGGCAATTCTATAAATAGAAACACGCAATTCTATAAATAGAAACACGCAATTCTGTAAAAAGATACTCGCAATTCTAAAAATAGAAACACACAATTCTATCAATAGAAACACATAAACACGCAATTCTAAAAATCGAAACACGAACTTCTATAAATAAAAACACATAAACACGCAATTCTATAAATAGAAACACGCAATTCTAAAACTAGAAACACACGAACACAAAATTCTATAAATAGAAACACGCTTTTCTAAAAATAGAAACACGCAATACTATATATAGAAACACGCAATTCTATAAAAAAAACACGCAATTCTAAAAAAAAAACCACACAATTATATAAATAGAAACACGCATTTCTAAAAATAGAAACACGCAATTCTATAAATAAAAAAACAGAAACTCGCAATTCTATAAAAAGAAACATGCAATTCTAAAAATAGAAAAATGCAATTCTAAAAATATAAACACGCAATTCTATAAATAGAAACACGCAATTCTAAAAATAGAAACACGCAATTCTATAAATAGAAACTCGCCATTCTAAAAATAGAAACACGCAATTCTATAAATAGAAAAATGCAATTCTATAAATAGAAACACGAAATTCTATAAATAGAACACGCAATTCTAAAAATAGAATACGCAATTCTATCAATAGAAACACACAATTCTAAAAGTAGAAACACGCAATTCTAAAAATAAAAACACGAAATTCTATAAATAGAAACAGACAAGTTTTAAATAGAAACACGAAATAGAAACATGCAATTCTATAAGTAAAAAACATGCAATTCTTAAAATATAAGCACGCCATTCTAAAAATAGAAACACGCAATTCTATAAATAGAAACACGCAATTCTAAAAATAGAAACATGCAATTCTATAAATAGAAACACGCAATTCTAAAAATAGAGACATGCAATTCTATAAATAGAAACACACAATTCTATGAATAGAAACACGCTAATCTATAAATAGATACACGCAATTCCATAAAGTGAAACACGCAATTTTGTTGTTGTTGTTGTTGTTGTTGTTGATAATGATGATGATGACGATAGATATATATATATTTATACACACACACCAACAAAAACACTTGATGCACATATCTGAGAAAATTCAGTTATTTAACCTTCAAATTCAAGGTCATTAAATAGCCAAAGTCAATTTGGGTTTGATAAACAACAAGGTCTTGTCCTGAAGAATGTTCTGTTATAATATGAAGTTGATCCCTTCAATAATAGCAAAGTTACAGCCAGTTACAGCCAAAACAGTTAAAACAATTTCAATTATTTGACCTTCAAAGTCAAGGTCATTAATGACTGAAGGTCAAGGTCTCTCTGGTTATTTTTAAGAGTTTTCTTGAAGATTATTATGTTCTAGCTTGAAGACAATCCATTCAAAAATAACAAAATTACAGCAAATAATATCAAAAAAATGAAAGTTTCAATAATTTGACCTTCAAAGTAAAGGTCATTTATGAGTGAACTTCAAGGTCTGTTTTGATTTTTAAGGGATATCCTTGAAGATTAAAATGTTCAAGTTTGATGACATTCCATTCAAAAATAACAAAGTTACAGCAAAAAAATAATAGCAAGAACAAGCAAAATTTGGACTTTTAACCTTGAAGGTCAAGGTCATTTATGGATGAAGGTCAAGGTTAGTGTGGCCTTCTGAAAGGTCTTGCTCCAAGGGTTGTTGTGGCCATGTATAAAGACAATACACCAAGAACTAAAAAAGTTATTATCCAGGTACAAGTTTGCGGACGGCAACGGCACCGGCAACGGCAACGCCGCTGCGACTATAACAATACCTCTACTTTTCTTTTAAAAAAAAGTCGAGCTAGTAAGTGTTATAATGACACTTTTAGAAAATCACGGGGCACCAAACACCTAAATGATATAACTGATGTAACACAATTATAAAATGAATGTTACAACTGTTTTAAAATGAACAAATGACGTGTCACAAAGCAAGCTACTAAGAACAAAAATCTAGTAAAACAGGCTACGATAGGACCCTCGTTCATTTCAAAGATAGCGAACAGCGCTGTATACTAACTAAAAGGAGAGTAATCAAATCCGTATTGGTATGCAATTTTGGACTTTAGGCAGAATTAATGTGCCTATGTGCATTGAGATTGATAATTCTAATATTATATAAGTGCTTTTTCACTTTTAGAAATTCACGTGGCACGAAACACCTGATTCTTCGAGATATTCCAGTAGAAGTACAAGTCAATATTATCAGGTAAGTTTTGTCATCTCTCTATGTCTTTTTTAGCTTACCAGAACCAAAGGTTCAGGGTGAGCTATTAGTATCAATAGGCGATACTCCGGTGTCCGTTGTCCTGAGTCTTACTTCAACAATCATGTTCTTCTCTGAAACTGTTGGGCAGATTAACCCCAAATTTGGTCTGAAGCATCCTTAGCCACACTTAGTTTTGCATTTCATTTCAATTGGCCCCTTTAGGGGTTTACAGAGCTAAAATAGAAAAGCCTTTAAAGAGCTTCTACATCTTCAATTGGATTGTCACCAAACTTTGTCTTAAACCTCCTTGGGTAGTCTTTTATCAAATTTGCTCATATTAATTTGATTGAACCCTTTTAAGAAACGCCAAATTGTAAAAATTATAAAAAAAACTTTAGTTTCCTTATTGCCCTGACCAAATGGATGGTTGATCATTAAACTTTGCCTATAGCATTCTTAGGTAGCCTTTTAACAGGTTTGCACATATTTACTTAAATAATCCCGTTTTAGTGGGGCCGCTATAGCTGTGTATTGTTTTTCATTTAGTAATATTCAAAGAGAATATTCATTAGAGAAACACTCTAACTAGTAAGTAAAATTTAAACTTGAATTTCTTTCATAAATGTACATTTGTTTCATCTTATTTTACCTTGTAATCTTTTGTAACCTAGCATTTTACATTAAGGAACAAAACTTAAGTTTAAGTATTAATTTTAGCAGTTTCTTGCTTGTCCTTACGTAATTTGCATTATTTTCTATTCTTTGTGCTATTCTTGTATCAGTTTCAATTATTTCTTTCACATTTTGCAAATTTGGTTATCACTCGTTCAAAGTAATTTTGCACTGTTTCATACAATATCACTTTTCCACAATGTATGTAAAGTTGTTTTATTAACCCATTACTTCATTAGCATCTTGTGAAAAATGGCTATTTTCATTGAAAAGCCTCATGTTCCAAGTTCAAATTGCTATGAAACTATAGACAAGTTTCAAAACAACAGTACAAAATTGGCACAGATGTTGACTGCATCATAGCCTTTGTAATGGCATACTCAGACTTAAATTTTATGTTTCTATGACAACAAGGGGACAATGCAAAATGACCCAACATCAGTATTTTGCATTTATTTTCCATTCCATCAAAAACTGATTACAAAGTGTTGCCGCTTCTTAATGGATAGAGATAGAGTCAAAGGTTTTTCACCATTGGTTAAACGTTACATTCAGGTCAACCTGAGGCTATCTTAGCCTCTCAATAGTCCAAAATGTTCATACAAATGAGAAGTTCTGCTGACCCCAGACATCACACTCTGAATAGGGTATGATTTTTACTATTTGAGGCCTCTAAAGGGGACACAAAATGTGTAAAAAGACGTCTATATGATGTAATAGGTTAAAAAAGTTATATTGTTTACTGAATTCATTTCATTAAAACAATCTTTTGCTTTTTCCTCTATGTTGTTAAAGTTACAAGTTTTCCTATTTCTATTAGAGGGTTAGACGATTCAACATAAACGTTGATTTTCTGCTCGAGGCACTTAAATAAATACTGATCTGTGGTGTCATTCTGACAAACAGTATATGAATATCTAAATACTGAACTTTTGTAATTATCTAGTTTTTAAGATAAGAAAAAAAGTAAGATAACAATTCCTATAGAAAGTCATAGGCAAATTTCACCACAAATTAATAGATTGATGATCACCAAACTCGTTGTGTAGCCTTCTTAAAGGTTCTTTATCAAGTTTAATTATATTAATTTGATTTGAGCTGAAAATGGAAAACAATCAAGTAGCATGAGACGATATGCTTGTTCCTATCATTTTTACTACGAAGAATAAAAAAACAATCAGTGTAGGGAAACTTGATAACAAGAGAGGCAAGTTGTAGTTGATCTGGGCTTTTCGTTTTACAAGTTTATTTGGAAAGTATTTCTATAATCATTTTTTCAAGCGATTCAGGGCCATCATGACTCTCTTCTTTTTATTGTTGCAACAAAACTGTTATTGTAATATGGCGATATAACTGTGCTGTCGCTTCTTAATGGATTGAGATAGAGTCAAAGGTTTTTCACCATTGGTTAAACGTTACATTCAGGTCAACCTGAGGCTATTTTAGCCTCTCAATAGTCCAAAATGTTCATACAAATGAGAAGTTCTGCTGACCCCAGACATCACACTCTGAATAGGGTATGATTTTTACTATTTGAGGCCTCTAAAGGGGACGCAAAATGTGTAAAAAGACGTCTATATGATGTAATAGGTTAAAAGAGTTATATTGTTTACTGAATTCATTTCATCAAAACAATCTTTTGCTTTTTCCTCTATGTTGTTAAAGTTACAAGTTTTCCTATTTCTATTAGAGGGTAAGACGATTCAACATAAACGTTGATTTTCTGCTCGAGTCACTTAAATAAATACTGATCTGTGGTGTCATTCTGACAAACAGTATATGAATATCTAAATACTGAACTTTTGTAATTATCTAGTTTTTAAGATAAGAAAAAAAAGTAAGATAACAATTCCTATAGAAAGTCATAGGCAAATTTCACCACAAATTAATAGATTGATGATCACCAAACTCGATGTGTAGCCTTCTTAAAGGTTCTTTATCAAGTTTAATTATATTAATTTGATTTGAGCTGAAAATGGAAAACAATCAAGTAGCATGAGACGATATGCTTGTTCCTATCATTTTTACTACGAAGAATAAAAAAACAATCAGTGTAGGGAAACTTGATAACAAGAGAGGCAAGTTGTAGTTGATCTGGGCTTTTCGTTTTACAAGTTTATTTGGAAAGTATTTCTATAATCATAATCATTTTTTCAAACGATTCAGGGACATCATGACTCTCTTCTTTTTATTGTTGCAACAAAACTGTTATTGTAATATGGCGATATAACTGGTGTTTACGTAAACTCATGTACCCATCCGTGCATTAGTATAGGCACAAATAAGAAACTGAGTAGTACCATCGATATTCCGTAAGCTAATCGATAGAACATTAAGATTCGAGCAGTAAACAGTGTGCTACAGGGGTTAGTTACTACGGCAAAATATCTCAAATTATTATCAACAAATGGGTTAAAGTCAAAGCAAAATATTACAGAGACAAAATTCTAAAGCCATTTTACAAGAAAAAGACTTTTTCCTGGAGGAGAGATTGATATGGTACTCCATCAAGACTCGGCCTCTAGTCATACGCTAAAATGCTCATAAAAGTTCTCAACAAACGCAAAGCGAATTACACAGCATCAGCAGAATTGATGCCAAAAGGCCCAGATGCAGCTTCCATGGACTTTGGTATCCGTGGTACCTTTAAACGTAGACTTTAGAAACGCAATATTTATATTACGTCCAGTCTTAAAAAGGCTCTCAAAGACGAATGGAGCAAACTTGACTAGACATGGATAAACCGTACTTTAGACAGATGGCCAAAAAGATGTAGAATGTAGTACTATTGTCATGGATCCCATATTTAGAATTTGTTTAAATTAAACACATGCGAGTAAATAATTAGACACGTTTAAAATCTGTTTCATAATAAATTCAACACTTTTTATACATATTCATAAACATCTCCTTTCTCACGCATATGTGACAAGAGCATAGTCACTTGGCATATATCAATAGTAATCTCAGAAAAAGTGAAATAAAGTAATCATGAAATTTATGTAAAAATCTCTCTGCCGTGCAGGTTACATAGTATCATACTGAAAATTGAAATAAAACATTTTCCTAGGTTTCTTGATCTAGGTAACTTAAAAATGCATTTAGGCGTATATTTCTCGACTGTGTGCTGTTTTTTATTCATCCCTTATTATTCATATCATTCTAAATATCTGGTTTTCTAATTCTGGTGTTTGTTCTTAAATGTAAAGCTGGAAATAAGAACGTGTTCGTTAAACACAAATGCCCCCGGCTCAGATTTTCGTCAGTAGCAATATTTCAAAAAATGTTTTCCCATTCACTCAGTTATGGACAGAAAAATTGCCAAAAATTGTAAACACAAGTTATATAGCTTGACAAAGTCATGGCAATTTGTAATTGTGAAAAATATAAGTTGCCAAGTCATTGCTCTGACTTGTGAAGTTGAAATATTCCACTTCATGCAAGTTATCTTCCTGCCAAATATGAAATACATCTGTCAATACATAAAATAGATAAATACAGAATCCCTAAAGAAAGCCCAACACGGCAAAATTGAAAATGTTGCAGGCTCGGTTTCATTGAGCCTGTTCATGGACGGTACTGGAAAGTTCAAGTTACCGTCTACGCCCCCATGCACCGGCTTAAGCAGAATTCAACATTTAAACATGAAATAATAAAAGTTTGAATTTAGAAACATCCGCAGATGTGTTCATACGGCGGTTATCATGGAACCTTCAATGTGACACTTCCGTGCCATTCCCCATGGTCCCCAAGTAATAAAAAGCGTGTGCCCTAAACGAGAAAACAATGGGCAGAACTGAATAAAATGGAATTTTGAAAGGGGATCAGAGGTTATGAAGCCTGCGTATCACAGATAAGACGTCAAAAGACAAATTTAAAAAGCAGGCAACATATCCTAAGGGTGATTCAACATTATTCAAGTAGGAATATTGGAAACACCCAACTAGAAATTGCCGAAAAGTTGAAGCTAAAAATACCACAAGCACAACAATAATGTCCTGCTGAACGATCTTCAAGGATAGAAAATATAACATCATTGATTAAATGTACGGGGAGACTTTTTACAGCCTTCACACGGCACAAATAACACGGATGTGATAAAGGCTGTATGGGCAAAAGTGTAAAAATCTATTTTTAGCACTGGTGACCTTGACCCAACTGACCCCTTACTCCATCCAAAGGAAGAATACTATGCAAGTTATCTTCGTACCCAATATTAAATACATCTGTCAATAAATAAAAGCTGTATGGGCAAAGGTGTAAAAATCTATTTTTAGCTCAAGTGACCTTGACCCACTGATCCCTACCCCAATCAAAAGGATGAATAC